CCACATGGCAGCCCATGACCGGTAACTTTAGTTCCAGAGTGTCCAAGCCTTCTGTCTGTTAGGGCCTCTTGCACACACACTCAGATAGCAAACGGATATACCTATAAGATAAGCTAATCTTTAAAAAATAATTCCTACCAAGGTATATTTATGGGTGATGCACGTTTTCATTTGTGTGGGTTTTTTTTTTTAATCCACTGAACATACCAAAAGGATGTTTACTAATGCTAAATTTATAACTGGCGGAAATGAGAACTTACTGAGCCTCTGCTAAGTGGTCCAATTGACAGCATTTTTCTGTCTTCTACCCTCACAATGGCTCCACATGATGGTGTCACCGGCTGCTCTATAGATAAGAGCGTTCTGTGAGTCAGAGTAACTGGGGATATCCATCCAGGATAGGGGCTCACATATGGCATTTTTTGTTGTTGTTGTTGTTGTTTGTTTGTTTGTTTGTTTGTAAACAGGGTCTCTCTATGTAGCCTTGGCTGTCCTGGAACTCTCTATGTAGACCAGGCTGGCCTTGAAGTCACAGAGATCTGCTTGCCTCTGCCCCCAGTGCTGGAATTAAAGTCAGGTGCCACCATGCCCAGCTTTCATATATGTTGAATCAAAAGTTTCTTTTGTGATCTGGGCATGGTAACACACAGCTGTTAACACCAGCACTGGCTGGGGGTTGGGTGGAGTGGTGGAGACTGAGGCAGAGGGATCTCAAATTTAAGGCCAGCCTAGACTATCTATCAAAAAGGCTTCTTCCCGTTACAATGTTAATATTTGATTTGGGTTTCCAGTGGCCCAGTCACTGCAGTCAGCACACATATTAATAACTTTCACCTCAACCTAATGTGGTAGGTTCTAAAATCAAAGCAGCTTACAGGTGTTGATCATCCTGAAGGCCAGATGGTTATCCAGCTAATAGATGATGGGACTTCGATGTCAATCAAAGCACCTATTCCTGTTGCCTATCATCATCCTCTACTAACATCTCGTGGTCAAGTGGAACTTCTCTTGCCCTTTATTTTTATCATCCTCGTTTTGTTTAGGGAACACCATACCGACCCAGAAAGGCTATTTGCTACTGTGCATCCCATTTCTGTGACTGACTAGTATGACCTCGGGCTTCGGGTGGGGTGGGAGCGGTGGGGGAGGGGCTCTCCTTGTGTTTAATAAAGGCTGCCTCTCCCTGGACTTCCTCACTGGCGAGAAGTTGAAGGAGTCTGTAAGAGCTTTGGGAATCCTGAGCTGCTCATTGGTCAGTCACTGTTTCCCATCTGGCCTGACCGCTCTAAGAAAGCTTTCAGCTGAGCACGGCATCCTGCAGGAGACTCTCAACCTTGTGGAGTCTACAGGTACTGTCTATGTTGGGTGTGCAGTGAGGCCCTTTTCCCACTCCTGGGGAGCTTTCTTCTCTGTGGTACAACAAACTCCTCAGCTCATAGTTACCTGCCATACCCTTATATTGCCACAGGAGTCTTATGTTTCCACAGGAAGGGTGCAGGTGCCTTCAAATTTCTGAGTACTTGGGTGTTGCAGCCCTACACACCTATCCAGATCCCCCTCTGCTCATATCATGATAGACACCTTTATGATGAATACACAACACATGCATTTCTTATGAATGAATGGTGGAAAGGAAGGTTGAGAAGGTTGACTTGAGTTCTTCAAACCAACGAACAACTTCTTTGAAATTGCGCCTTTAGCAATTTGCTGTTTGGGGTGAGAACTGGGTGAAAAGGAAAACTCAAAAGGTTGTATGAGAAGACCCCAGAGTGACTGGGGATCAGGTTCATCGAAGCAGCTGGATGGATGGACAAACTTTTCAACTCTCCAGACCTGATCCGGCCTTGAACTGAAGCCCAAAGCTTTGCACCGGAAACTTCCAGAATGGCTGCATTTGTGTGTGTGTGTGTGTGTGTGTGTGTGTGTGTGTGTGTGTGTGTGTCTGTGTCTGTGTTTCAGTGGAAGTAGAATGCATGACACAGCTGCTTTTTATGAAGATTGCAAATGACAATATTTTTGTTACTACTTTTGGAAAGAAAACTCAGTCATCAAAGACATTCAGCACTTAATCCCTGGAGTGCTGAGTGACGCTCAGTTAAGATGGAAGACCTTCTTGAAAAACAGAAACAAAGCTCGGGAGCAGGAGATAGCCATCTTGTCTCAGTGGCTGATAGGGTCTAGCTTTAAAATGATGTCGTTCTCGGTGTCTGTGCTACTGGCGTTATATTTAGGAAGTGATCGCTGGTGTCAATGTGTTCAAGACTACTTTCTACTTTCTCTTCTATCAGGTTCAGAGTAGTTGGATTTATGTTGAGGTCTTTGATCCACTTGGACTTAAGTTTTAGCTTTTGTAGGGCAAAGGACATAGTCACTAAGACAAAACAACAGCCTACAGAATGGGAAAAAAAATCTTCACCAACCCCACATCTGACAGAGGGCTAATCTCCAGAATATATAAAGAACTCAAGAAACTAGACATCAAAATACCTAACAGTCCAATTAAAAAATAGGCTATAGAGCTAAACAGAGAATTCTCAACAGAAGAATCTCAAATGTCTGAAAGACATTTAAGGAAATCTCAACATCCTTAGTCATCAGGGAAATCAAAACGACTCTGAGATACCATCTTACACCTGTCAGAATGGCTAAGATCAAAAACACTGAAGAGGGCTTATATTGGAGAGGATGTGGAGCAAGGGGAACACTCCTACAATGTTGGTGGGAATGCAAACTTGTACAGCCACTTTGGAAATTAGTATGGCAGGTTCTCAGAAAATTGGCAATCAATCTCCCTCAAGATCCAGCTATACCACTCTTGGGTATATACCCAAGGAATGCTCAATCATACCACAATGACACATGCTCAACTATGTTCATAGCAGCATTATTTGTAATAGCCAGAACCTGGAAACAACCTAGATGCCCCTCAACTGAAGAATAGATAAATAAAATGTGGTACATATACACAATGGAGTATTACTCAGCAGAGAAAAACAATGACATTATGAGGTTTGCAGGCAAATGGATGGAACTAGAAAATATCATCTTGAGTGAGTAAACTCAGAATCAGAAAGACAAACATGGTATGTACTCACTCATAAGTGCATACTAGATGTAAAGCAAAAGGATAACCAGACTGGATAACCCACAGCTTCAGGGAGGCTAGCTAGTAAGGAGGACCCTAGGAAAGACACAGGGATTACCCAGTGATGGAGAAATGGATAAGATCTACATGAGCAAACTGGGGGTGGGGGGATAATGGAGGGCAAGGGTCAGGGGAAAGAGAGCTTAGGGGAGCGGGAGGTTCGAGCTGGATCAGGAACAGAGTGGGGGAACAAGAAAAGAGATACCATGATAAATGAAGACACCATGGGAATAGGGAGAAGCAGAGTGCTAGGGGGGTCCCCAGGAATCCACAAGGATGACTCCACCATAGACTACTGGCAATAGTCGAGAGGGTGCCTGAACTGACCTACTCTGGTGATCGGATGACTGAATATCTAACTGTCATGATAGAACCCACATCCTGTAACTGATGGAAGCAGATGTAGAGATCCACGGCCGGGTCCCAGGCAGAGTTCCAGGAGTCCAGTTGACAAGAGAGAGGAGGGATTCTATGAGCAAGAGCTATAGAGACCATGATTGGAAAAAGTACAGAGACAATTAGTCAAACTAGCAGAAATACATGAACTGTGGACCAGTAGCTGAGGAGCCCCCATGGTACTGAACTAGGCCCTCTGGATAGGTGAGACAGTTGTTTAACTTGAACTGTTTAGGGGGCCCCCAGGCAGTGGGATCGGGACTCGTCCCTAGTGCATGAGCCGGCCTTTTGGAACCTAGTGCCTATAAGGAGACACTTTGCACAGCCTTGGTGCAGGGAGGAGGGGCTTGGACTGCTGACTCCCCAGGGGAGACCTTGCCTTGGAGGAGATGGGATGGAGGATGGGTTGGAGTGGGGAAGGCTGGGAGGAGGGAGGACAGGGGAATCCAAGGCTGATATGTAAAATAAATAGAAAATCTCTTAATAAAAAAATAAAAATAAATAAAATGATGTAGTTAATTTCTCCCTTAATGCTGGTGGTAACAAACAATTGGGGGATTTATCTTGAAAACCGTTTGTTCTCCAGGTCAAGGTACAGCTGTGTTCCTGATGTTAGGAACTCCTGCTTTAAAAAAACAAACAAACAAAAAAACCCTGAAATCTCTTAAATACATTTTAACAGAATACATTATAAATACTAAGTAACAATAACAATAATTTGACTTGTAAAATAAAATACAATTAACATGGCCCAGGTGCTCAGTAATGAGCTTGAAGTAATGACTCATAAGTTTGAAAACTTCCCTGACTGGGGTTCTAATGTGATTACAAGTGGGTCATAAAAGTGGATGTGAGAAACTAGTTTCCCAAGTCAGGATTACCATTTACTGGAATCCATGACACTTCAGAGTAAGGCAATAATCAGCAGGGAAGAAATGACTGTGGTTGACTCACTAATCCAAGAACTCTGCACTAATTGCCGTGCCTCAGTTTCCCGATTTTATGAAATGAAGTAGTAACCTGCCTGCCACCCTGTTGTGTTTGGAAAGTCCGGAGAGATAATAGTCTGTGTGCTTTGAAAATAAGGAATACATTATAAATGCTAAATAATAATAATAACAATAATAACAGGGAGTCTTTAATGACAGGGGCCCTTTAATAATACTCATCAAGTATAATAGCATCACTAACCAGTAGGAACAAGACAGAGTGCGTCTGTCCTCTTAATCATTAGTTTGTCTCATGGGAAATTGGTGGGGGATTGAAGCCTCACACTGAGCCCCACAGGCTTGCCAATCCCGTCACTCTTAGCTTTCGGAATAACACTTGTTTCTCTTTAAGAAGGCGAGCGGTGTAACTTGAGGGGGCTGGGGCAGAGGTATCCCAGCTCAACTCCTAAGCCCAGAGAGCAGGATTATAAAATTTCAGTTCAGAGCTGCTTGGAAAAACAAAGAAAAGGAGGATTGGGACCCAAGAGAGCAAACAGCTTGAGGGGCAAGGGCCAATGTGGCTACCGGATCCTGCCACGAGGTGGCGACAATCCAGCTGGAAAGACCCTCTGGGGGTGGCATTGATGGTTCGCAACCAAGAAAGGAACTTCCACAGACACAAAGACAGGGTCTTCGGAACCGGGAACAGGCGTTTGCCTTCTTCGCCAGCAGTACCTCGGGAGTGAACGTGATGAAGGTGGCCCGGAGAAGGATCGAGAAGCACCCTTCTTATTCCTTGGGCTTCCACTTCCCAGGACTGCAAGCCTTGGTGTGGGTAGGATTTTGTGCAAAGTCACCCGAAAAAGTCCATGTTTGACCTTCCCCTGCCGCCCGGAGGCCAGCCAGATGCTTCCCTCATTCTCAGGATTCCCAGCCGCGAGTGGACGATTGTGAGCCCAGCCACACGCCTCAGGCCAGGATCCGGCCAAGCAGAGCGATCCAGCCAGCTCATCCCCGGGGCCGGGTCTCCGCGGCTCCTCGGAGCCAAACCGTGGAGGGGCCCGAAGCCCGGTTCTGGGGCGAGCAGCAGCTGTAGGGTGTGCCCGCGGCTCCTCTGCACCCGGTGCCTGGGAAAATGTTCGGAGCTGGGCGAGGCTAGGGGGTGGGTGCTCTCCTTGTTTTGTTTAGTTGTGAATGTGAGGAACCACCACCACACCCTCGTTTGTTTCAGGAGGGAGGGAGCTGGCTTTGAAACTCCGCTGTTAGGAAACTCGCAACAGGGCTGTTAGGAAACTCCAGTGCAATGACCGTCCTGGGCTGCAGGACCTGGGCCCTGGCTTGCCTGGCCGCGGTGCTCCAACCATTGGCCTGCCTGGCAGCCACGGGCGAATCCTGGTCCCTCCAGCTAGGGAGCCGGGAAGGAAAGCCCAGAACACGCACACGCACGCGCGCGCCCCGGCTGGCCACTCACCTGCCCATCGCTCTGGGGTGTGGGGTGGGAGTCAAGAGTGGCGAAGAGCATGTGATCGACACATGCCGGATAGGATTGCGTTATTTAAGCCCCACAGCATCACCCCCTGCATTTTACAGAGGTGAGAAACAAGCTTTAGATGCTGAGTAGTTTGCCCAAGGCCGCTCAACTCTTAGCGGGACTGGGCTTTTACTCTCGACCCGCACTTCTCCAAAACCCTAGGCTGTGCTTCCTCGGACAGCCCCGCCGCCGAGAGGCCACTGGGAGGAGTGAGTATAAATAGAGCTGGGAATGAGCCTAGGCGCTGGCAGGACAGCCAAGGTTATTCTGGACTCGCCTTGCCTTTGAAGGCAGACTGGAGAACAGCTAGTGTAGCCCGACCTTTCCCCACCTCCATCAACAAATGCTGCGTACCAGGGACCCTCCTAAGCACGGAGGCATCCCAGGGAACAAGACAGTCCATATTAATGTGCGATTGCGCGGGTGCTTATGGAGCTAATTATTGAGCTATTGACTCTCACCCCTAACCACCGTCTGCATGCTGCAGCTGGGCCTCTGCTACAGAGCCCTGAAAAGCTCCGCCAATCAGGGCACTAGCCGGAGGAAGAGCAGCTCTCCTTTCTGCCGGCAATCCCTGTTGGCTTCCCGCAGCGGGGTGGTGCTTTCCGACCAGATTTCTCCAGCACCCCCAGCCTTTGTTCAGCGGTGACAGAACGGGAGCCGGGCAAAGCATCCACGTCTCTGCAGCCTGAGCCCAGGCGCCAGGGTTCTTCCCTGGGTTCCCCGGTCCTGGTCTGGAAACAGTCCCCTCTAGCCAGAGTGTCTGGGGTCCGTGCCTCCCCAGACCCTTCCAACAACCCGTGTTGTGCTGGTAAGTCCTTGACACAAAACGAACGAAACAAAGAAACTTAGTTTGCAACGTGTGCCGATTTCTACAGTAGAAATCATTTCCTGCACAGGTCTTGAGGTACCTCTCAACCTTACAGGCAGGTACTGGCAGGCCCGGACACAAATGCCTGCCCATCCCCCGCCCCAACCATCATCAATTGAAAAACTAGTTTGCTTTCTAGGGTTTTTCTTTCTTTCTTTCTTTCTTTTTCTTTTTTCTTTTGCTTTCTAGTTTGTTTTTCACCACTAGGCTTTGACTAAATAACACTTAAGCTTCCAAGACTCTCTCGCGCGTGTGTGCGCACTACAAAATTTCTTCTGAGGCAGTTATTGGGACTATAGGAGACCATGTAAACAAAATCCTCTGAATCTAGAACTGTAACGCAATTCCTGGACATTCCTTTGGGAAGCGGGGCCAAGCATTTTGAAGATGACTCACAGAGGTGACCTCAGAGCCGGGAACTGTGACTCAGTCCCACAAAGGCCCGTCATACCAGTGACTGGCTGTGATGTCACACGGTGTGTCTAAAGATCTTGTTCTTTAAGCATTTGGGGGGGGGGGTGAATAGTGCTCAAACCAAGGAACCCCAGGAGTAAGCCAGGTGTCTCATTGGTGTTTGGGGCAGGCTCTAGTTTTCCATATTCCAATTCAAGGCTGTACAAAGGGGAAAAAAAAAAAACATTTATCCATGTGTTAGTTACTTTTCTATTGCTATGATAAAAAATCAGTGTAAGTGTGAGAGCCAAAGTTATGTTTTAAGTTTTAATTACTGTGCTAAGAGATCCATAAAACAAAACAAAACAAAACAAAACAAAAATGCCTCTAACCTGTGAGCCCCTGGCCCAAGGACAGAAATCTCCTGAGAGCTGGAGGCTGTTGTCCATATCAGATAAAGGCCTCATGTTTTTACCTCTCCAAACAAGTTTGGTTGACCCAACTGCACAAGATGAGCTTGCTCAGACCAGGCAGGAAGTACCTTAGGATGTATGCATGTCCCCCCCACCCCCCCTCATTGGACGAAGACAGGAAGTACAGAGCCTTGTGGGTTTACCCTTATAAGCACTTGGCCAATATACCTCTAAAAGTGGCCACTTTCTGGGAACCCAGGAATGGACCTGGCCAGAATCCATCATCATGGCCAATATTTAATTAAAGCTAGCTTCAAATTTGGCTCAAAATTGTGGTAGTGGTCTTATTCTTGACTAGTAGGGTTAACATAAGAAATATTAAATATGATTCATCTCTATCAAATACTATAAAATTGAGTTTAGGATAGGAATTAAGATATTTTTATCTCCCCCACCCGGTAAGACTTTTATGCAAATACTTTAATTCTCTACCCAGTAAAACCTTTGTTTACCCAAAGACCACTGCTCGGTTCTAGGACTTTGATGGCCTGGAGCGGTGACCCTTTTCTTCTTAGAGAAGTGGCCCTTTCCTCTTCTTTCTTCATTTCAAGTGTGCCAATTCTCTTCAGACTAGCCAATTAAATAAGATTGTGAGGTTGGACCCCAGCCAATGCGGAAAAGACACAGCCACCACCTCGGGGTTAGAATGAAAACCAATTTGGACTTCCTGTGTGCTCTCCTCTGAGTACACCCTCTTGACCAAGAATCAAGTTAGCCTGGTCCAGGCGCGTCAGTGGTGATCTCTTTCTTTTCAACCCCAAACTCATTTCTACCATTATGACCAAGGCAACTTATAGAAGGAAGGTTTGGTTTGGGTTAAGGGTTCCAGAGGGTTAAGAGTCTGTCACGATTACCACGGGGACGCCCGGCAGCAGCCCGGCAGGCTGGCCAGAGGAAAAGCTGAGGGCTCACATCTCAAACCACGAGGAGGAAGCAGAGAAAGCCAAGGCAAAATGTCTTCGAACTTTCGAAGCCCACCTCCAGCGGCACACTTCCTTACAACAAGGCCACGCCTCCTAAGCCTCCCCACAGAGCGCCGCCAACTAGGGACAAAGTATTCAAATGCTTAAGACTGTGTCAGACACCTCATTTAAGCCACCGCAGGCCGGAGTAATTTCATTTTCTCCTCAGGTTCCCAAGCCTAGCGAAACGGTGTGTTAACATTCAGAGTCACTGCTTGAAATCCTGGCCAATAAGCAGATAACACCCTGGCCCGCCCAGTCCTGACGCCATCTTACTAAAGCACACTTTAGGAGAAAACTCCTCCTCCAACCTCTCTTTTCTCTCTAGTCTCATCAAGTGTGCACCTCCTCTCCCTCCCTCTATCTCTCTCCCCCTCCCCTTTCTCTTTCCTTCCATTCCCTTCTCGCTTCCCCCCAATCAACTTTCCACGTGGACGCTGTGTCTGCATGGTGTGAATAACTTCCACAGCTCCGCAGCAGCCCGACACGGTGTCCGCATGTCAGCATGGCATGCCTCCCTCACCCACCTTGGCCCAACCCGCCAAGGCCTCCCTCCAGCTGTACCAAAACAGGGTGTAATCTTTTTTCCTTTTTGGTTTTTTTAGACACAGTTTCTCTGCATAGCCTTGGCTGTCCTAGAACTAGCTCTCTAGACCAAGTTGACCTAAAACTCACTAAGATCCACCTACCTCTGACTCCTGAGTGCTGACTCCTGAGTGCTGGTATTAAAGGCACACACCACCATTGCCCAGCTTGAGGGTGTAATCTTTAAACTTGTAAATCACTAGGATTTTCATTTCTGCCATTTCAATAACCTATTCTTGAATGACCTAGACTTCGCATAAACACTTCGTCTGTCTCCTTTCTCTGTTCCTTTCTTAGATGACCTTTGGGGAGTGGGTGACTCTCTGTTGCATGTCCTCTGCCCCTTGACCTGCTCAATCAGACTTTTTGGCTCTTCCTGTCTTAGGTACCTAGAGTCTGAGGTCCCAAACATGTACCTCTGATTTAAATACACACGCCCTTCATTCTGACTATTTTATCCAACCTTGGTCAATTTATATCACATTAGGAGCTTGGGGACTTCCGGGTAGTCTGTGCCACATGCGGACTGTGGGGAACCAGGGGTGCTGTCCTTGCTTCTTTTGCCTCCTGACACCACCCCACCCCTCTTCCTCACTGTTGAATATGACGACACAGAAGACACAGGAGTCTTCTGACCATGCCCGGGAGTAGTTACAAAATCCAATTAGCTTACCTGGATGTCTTCATCATCTCCTCCCTTAAGATCTGGTGTGAGAGAAAGAGCTGGAACCTGACGTTGGCATCTGGCTGACTCTGCCTTCCATAGGATTTGTCTCTGTGACACTTCCAGTGGAGGTTTGAATGAGATGTTCCCCACAGTCTCGGACGTTTGAATACTTGGTCCCCTGTTCGTGGTGCCGCTTGGGGATGCACTGGAGGGGCGGCCTCGTTGGAGGAAGTGTGGCATGGGTGGGAGAGGCTTTGGGAGATTGAAGCGTCACACCATTCCAAGTTCATCCTTTCTGTCTCACGTTTTCAGTTCGGGATGTGAGCCCTTGGGTTAAGGGTAGTCCTGCTACCATGCCTGTGTTCCACCGCCTCGGACTCGAGCCCTCTGGAACTGTAAGCGCAAACAAACCCCTTCTTCTGTAGTTGCTTGGTTAGGATGTTCTATGACAGCAATAGGAAAATAACTAATGCACTTCCCTGTGCAGCCAACTTAAGAAAGAGCAATTCTTATCATTGCTGCTGCCTTCCTGGGTACAGAAATCTCAACAGCTGTACTCTCTGCACCATGGAAGAAACTGATTTAGAACTCTCAGATTATTGTATGGAGAGAGAGAGAGAGACCAGTTGAAATAAAACTCAAGATGCTTTTATCTTAAATTAAGTCCATTCATTCACTCATCCACCTGTCCATCCATCCATTCAGTCATGGTGATGGGCAATGAACAAGGATCTTATACACAGCAGGTAAGTATCCTGCTAATGGGTTTCACCTCCCAACCACAAGAATTATTGTAAGATTTAGTTTTATTTTATTTTAAGTTATGTCTCTGTGTCGTCTGTGTCTGTGTGTGGGTATGTGCATGAGTTAAGGTACTGAGGGAGGCCAGAGGCTTCTGTTCTCCACAGCTGCCTGTGAGTCACCTAAGGTTGGTGTTGTGGAACACTAGTTAAAAATATGTTACATTCTTTTATGCTGTGGAATATTTGTTTAACATTGTAAAGATGTGTTGCATTCTTTAATGTTGCATCTGTTTAGCTCTGTAAAGCTGTGTCTCTTTGCCTGCCTAAAACACCTGATTGGTCTAATAAAGAGATGAATGACCAATAGCAAGGCAGGAGAGAGAATCAGGCAGGGCTGGAGGGCAGAGAGAATAAAAGGAAGAGGACAGAGAAGAGAAGAGAAGTGATAAGAGGAAAAAAAGAGGAGGAGGCCAGGGGCCAGCCACCCAGCCACATGTTATGGAGTAAGTAATAAAGAAAAGGTATACAGAAATGGAGAAAGGTAAAAAGCCCGGAGGCAAAAGGTAGATGGGATAATTTAAATGAAACCTGGCTAGAATAAGCCAAGCTAAGGTTAGGCATTCATAAGAAAGAATAAGTCTCCATGTATTGATTTGGGAGCTGGGTGGTGGGCCCCCAAAGAGCAAAGAGTTAAAAAAAAAACAAAAAACCAAAAACCAAAAACCAAAACCAACTACAGGTTGGTGCTGGGACTGGAACTCAGGACTGCTGTAAGAGCAGCGCACTCTCCTAAGTGCTAGTCTCTCCAGGCTCTAATATGTATTTTATTTTTTTGCTTAAAAGGGGGACAATTAGATCCTCTGCTTACTAAAATCATGTGTATTTGTTGTAAAACAAATGAACAAAATGACCCAAATGTCCAGTGAAGGGAGAGAGCTTCTTGGCTCTCTTGGTTTGGCTAGCGTCCAGCTTAGAAAGGCTCTTCCTTTGCAATGTGCCAGGATCCTCTTGGGAGCAATCTGGGCATTGTCTCTGTTAGCCACCAGAGATCAGGTGGCTGAATTCAGGGCACAATGAGGATGTTTTTCCTTTGAGTACTGGAAATATGAATTAGAGAAAAAAGAGCACTGGCTGCTGACAAGTCTGGAAGGTATGGGGTAGGGGAGCCACGGGCACCAAGGTCTGTCTGGCATCCATGTTTCTGGGTGGGACTACCAACAGGCCTCCACCATGTCTTCCTCCGTGTGCATGGCTCTGGTTTGGCTCAGTGTGCTCTACAGTGTTGGATGACGGAATATGGGTGCCACGGGCTCCCCTCCCTGCACAGGATGACTTACTGGGCCCAGGATAATGCAAACACTTCCATGAACCCTGGGCATCTCTCTTCCTTCCTCTCTCACGGCATCCTCCAAACAGCCCCATGGAGCGATAACACCCACATCAAAGGAGGACTGCCTTAACGTCACAGAAGTGAAAAATCCAGAGCCACTGTCCGGTCTCCCAACTCTCAGCTCAGGCCTCTTTTTGTTCCAGACCCGGCTGACCCTGCATGCAAATAAAGAACTCAACTAACGTCCCTTTCGGTCTTTCTCCAACACAGAGTTTGCCCCTCCACCTCAAAGCTAGAGGCATTCATGTAGAAATCACAGTGTGTGATGTATCAGACAAAGCAACCTTCTTCTACTCAGGAGTAAAAGCCACACTGTATGTGAGGAACCCTGATGAGTCTACCTTCGCCAGAGTCATGTAGAGAAAGCAGGAGCAGATCATAAAGAACTTTCTAGTTGGATTTCTACTCGTGTTCAGTATTGTTCCAGGAGAATTGAGATGTACAAGAGAAAAAAAAATCTTCCTGGGGGTAGTTTTCTGAGACAAAAAGGGTGGGTGTGGTGATCTGATTGGCAGAATCTGTCATCACCTAGGAGACAGGCCTCCAGGCACAGTTGTGAAGGATTATTTAGGTTAGGCAAGCTTCTGGGCAAGCCAGTGAAGGCTTCTATTGATTAGGTTAGTTGAGGTGAAAATACTCAACTAAGGCTACACCATCCCGGAGTCCTCACTGTGGGGGGTGGAGGGGAGGACCCTAGGCTAGCTGAGCAGGGTGTACTATCACACCCGTTTTTGTGACAGTATCTACAGTGCCACCAGCTGCCTCGAGATCACGTTGCCGTGATTTCCTAGTTATGTTGAACTGTCTGCTGGAACTGAGTCAGAATGAATCTTTCTTTCCCTAACTTTTTTTTTTTTTTTTCTCGTTAAGGGTATTTTGTCATGGCAACAAGAACAGTAACTAAGACAGTGAATATACAGGAAACAGATAATGCAAAATAGCCTGAATCCAAATGCTGAGCTCATTGGTGGGCGGCACAGTGAGGATGATACTGGAGTGAAGGACCACAGAGCCAGGATCGGAGGGACTGTAAAATGATGCAGTTTCTATGGAAACTATATGAGGACACTTAAAAACTTAAAAACAGAATTACCACATAATCCGGCAAATTCCACTTTGGGGTATATCCAAAAGATCTGAAATTAAAAACAAGGTTCTGAAGAGACAGTTGTGTGCCCATGTTCCTGTAAGTATTATAACAACAAAAAGGGGAAGAAAACAAATATGTGTTTGTGATTATGAATGTATAAATGGAATGTTATATTTTGTATAAATGAAATATTACTCAGATTTTAAAAGGAAAAAAATTCGGATATCTACTATGCACATAGATTAACTTTGAGAAAATTATGCCAAGTGAAATAAGCCAGATAGGCAATGACCAAAAATGTCAAATTCTCAAGGGTGAGACATCTGGATAATCAAGTTCACAGAAATAGAAAATAGAATGGCGTTTGCCACAGGCCCTGAGGAGAAACACTGGATAATCATGGGGCTTCAGTTTTACAAGATGAGAAGAGTTCTGGACATCGGTCAAGCACCTTGGTTGGTGTACTTAGCATAGCTGAACTGGACATGCAAGATGTTAGAACAGCCACCTTCACATTACATGTGTTTTTAACAGAATTACCGAAATAACAGGGCAGATGTGCTAGGAGTCCTTGCAGAGACCAAAAGGAGCAAATCCCGGAAGCTGAGACTGGACTGGCAGATGTGATGTAGGAGGTTCTATGCCCACAGGATACTTTGCCAGCCGTTGGATTTGGAAGCATCCAGAATCTGGGAAGTATCCATCATAGATTGTTAAGTGCTGTATATAGACTGTCTGTGCTCCCCTGGCCACCCTCCTCAAACTCCATGTTGACATCCTGATCTTCTAGGATGTGGAACTGGGAGGTCCTTATGTCAGGAGTGACGTAAGCACCCTATGAAAAAGGACCATCTTCTACCATGAGAGAGGTGGTCTCAGCACACCCCGACACTCAGGAGCCTCAACCTTGTCCTTCCAGATTCCTGGGAGAGGGAAACTCCTGTTGTTTATAAACTGCCCGGCCTCCAGCATTCTGTTGTGGCAGCCTGAGCAGACTTTGTAAGAAAAGCCCTTACGAATATTTGGGCTGAGGAAGCTGAAGGGTCTTGTAGTGCCAGAGGACTTGGGCTGACTCAGGACCTTTGAGGCCAGCTTGGGTTACATAGTTCAAGGTTAGCCCAGGCTGTGTAGTGCAACCCTGTCTCCAAAAATAACAGTCACAACACAGGGTAACAAAGTGTCTGTACACATGAGAACCAGAGAGACAAAATGATGAAAATACTAATACAAGAAATAACTACAAAATAATAAAACTTAATTTGTTCCTTCTATAAGTAAACAGAAGATTAAGTATCCAAATGGATATTGTCTTTCTCATTATCTTTATCTCGGTGTGTGCACGATGTGTGTGTGTGTGTGTGTGTGTGTGTGTGTGTGTGTGTGTGTGTGGTGTGAACGCGTGTGTGCATATTTGTTTGTGTGAACGTGGGTGCACATGTCCACAGTGTATGTGTGGAGGACAGAGAACAGCCCCCAGTGTCCAGCCTCACCTTCTGCTTTCTTTGAGGTAGGACCCCTTGTTTTATCTCTATGTATGCCGTACTAACTGGGCTCCTAGCTTCTGAGATTACAGACACTCCACAGCGTGCATTTCATGTGTACTCTAGGGATTTCGACTCAGGCCCTAACGCTTGGGTAGCAAGAGCTTTACCCACCCAGCAATCCCCCGCCCATATTGTACTTAATAACAAGAAGTCCCTCTTGGAAGGATTTGCTACTCAGTCCAGAGATTTTAAGCGAATCCTGAATGTTCTTGACGACTCTCATTCTGGAAGGTTCCTTTGAATGCTGCAACATGGCTTTGGACTTCCTTTTCCTTCTTTTGGATAAGATCTCACTCTGTACCATGGCTGCCCTGGAATTCGCTGTGATGGGTAGATCGGGATGTTCAAATTGACATTGATCTTCTTGCCTCTGCCTTCTAAGTGTGGGGATCGCTGAATGTACCACTATGCTCTGCTTGGCTTCTTTCAAGACAGGCAAGCCTTTTCCCTTGTCAGTCAGCGGGAGCTTTAGGAATATTCCAGAACTGTGCTGCATCGTCTCACCCAGCCAGATCCAGCTCCCTGTAAGTGCTAAGATAGACTTGGTTGTGAGAAACTGACAAGCTATGAAGAGGAAAGGAATCTGCAGACCAGAGCTCTGCAGCCATGATACAGCTTGTGGGTGCTATTGTGAGCTCTGGGACACACACCCCCCCGGGGGAGGGGCTGAGGTATCTTACCTCCTCTAGCTTTTTTGACTCCAGGCTTGGGCTCCAGACACAGAGGAGCCCAGTGCTAAGTTGGTTCTTCGGGTCATAGATGGATGCAGGGAGAGACCCCTGTGGGCCCCATTTCGGCCTCTTGTCCCACTTCAGGCCATATTTTCTCCCTGACTGTTGATCCTACTGGTTTACTGGACCTTCTATCCAAAACAGACACATAAACGAGAGGCATCTTCACCCGCTTCCATAAGTCCCAGCAGATGTGGTGTTTCACATCTGGAATCCCAGCACTAGGGAGGTAAAGGAAGGAAGGCCAGGAAGTGAAGGTTGACTTCAGCTACAAAGAAGACTGAAGCCAGTCTGGGATACCTGAGACCCTGACACAGAAACAAATAAATCCCTTGTGATATGTTGTGGAACATTCCTTTACCCTGTGTGAATGCATGTCACTGTGATTGGTTTAATAAAGAAGCTGACTGGTCTATAGCTAGGCAGGATAAGATTAGGCAGGAGAATCAAACTAAGAAGAAGCTGGGAAGAAGGGAGGAGTTTGAAGGTTTTGAGGAGGAGACATGGAGGAAAGCAAGATGAACTTGCCATGTTGAAAAAAGATACTGCCACATGGCACAGGGTAGATAAAAAATACGGATTAATTTAAGTTGTAAGAGCTAGTTAAAAACAAGTCTAAGCTATTGGCTGAGCATTTATAATCAATAAGTTATGTTTGGTTATTTGGGAATCAGCTGGCAGAAAAGAAAAGTCCACCTACAATATGTCAACCACAATGGCCTTTTTCTGCGGACATCAATTGTGAATGCTGTCATAATTACATGTAAAAGTATTTGGGCGCCAGACGATAGGGGTCAGTGAACAGCTCAGTAGGTCAAGATATTTACTGTGCAAGTGTGGTAAACCTGAGTTTGATCTCTGCAACCCACATAAAGGCAGAGGGAGTGAACTGACTCTACAAAGTTGTTCTCTGGCCTACACACACACACACACCACATACACACACCACACCACACACCATGGTATGTATTCCAACACACACGTATACATATACACAGGCACCATAATAATAACAACAATAATTATTTTTAAAAAGTATTTGAAAATCAACTTTTAAAAATAAACTAGTTTAACAAGCTGAGTAAAAACTGTTCAGGGCAATGTACCCAGCATTATAATAAAGAGCAAATCTATTTCTCATACAATTCATAAACGAGGACTGAAGGCCATTGCCAAAGTTACTTCGGATGAGGACCATTCGGAAGCACCATGTTCATTGAGATACATGATGCAATTCTTATTTATTAATAAGAATTAATAAAGAGGCTTCCTGTTTTATTTGTTTATCATCACTGCTCCTATATGCTGGTTTATAGAAGGACAATGACCAATAATCAATGCCAGCACCCAGCAAAGAGAACACAGTCAAGTTACAATCTGCACATAGGGCTGACTCAGAATATTGTAGAGTCCAAAAGAGAAAGAGAGAGCCTGGATGAGCAGGGAAAACATCAACGAGCAGATGCAATGTGACTGGAGGATGACTATTTAAGGCATGCTTTTATTGTATATGAATTACACCCAATGAATAAAGAGGCCCATGGCTTCAGGACTGTGCAAGTGCTGTAATTTGGATTTTGATCATGGTTGAATCAGATCAACTTTTTCTCTTGCTGATAAATCCCAGTGATTATTAATGGTGGGCCTATCATAAGATGATACCCAAGTCTTCCGGACTCTAGAGGATGACTGGAATAAAACTGTTCAAGTTCAGAGTGTTGTGTCCAAGTGATCATAATACATTGTCTACGGTCCTTTATCAGAGCCCCAGGCAGTGGAGGAGAGTCTAGGGAGGCGTGAGCACGCTGAATTCTGAGGTCTGGGGCCATGCTCATAGAGGTGAGGGCTGCTTATCATTTCTGGGCGTGTTGGCTCCAGCCCAAGAACTGTGCTAACAGGCTGACTTTAGGCCCTGAAATTCTGGTCAGGATGACCCAAAGATTTAAGTAAGAACTGGAAGGCGGGACATGCCTATAATCCCAGGAATCATAACACTGGGAAGGTAGCGACAGGGGAATCAAGAGTTCAAGGCCAGCCTTCGCTACACAAAGGTTTAAGACCAGCTTGAGCTACATGAACCCCAATTTCAATCCTCTACCCTACCTCCCCCAAACCAAAGAACAAAATCAAACAGCCACACGCCCAAGCCCCTGTCTGTTCACACTTGAATTCCTGTGTTCCGTGCTGCCTTATGCCATCTCTGTTTTAGTTTTCGAGATAGGTTCTCACGTAGTCCAAACCCGCTTTAAACCCATTGACCTTGAATGTCTACCTGATTCTCCAGTCCTCACTTGCTGAGCGCTGGGCTTCCAAGCATGCATCACCATGCTCAGTTTACCCAGTGCTGGAGGTGGAACCAGGGCCTAGTGCATGCTGGGTAAGGGCTGAGAGGACTGGGATCCGTGCAGGACACACCAAGACCAACTTCTCAGCACAAAGGAGATTTATTTGTCCCAGGGGACAAAGGACTGCCTCTGGATAGAGAGGAGACAGATGTGGCCCGTAGGCAAATGGCAGTTAATGAAGGGGAAGGGGAACCCCGTTGTAAGGATGAGGTGTTCGGTTTTAATTGGACATGTTAATTAGGGCAGCCACTGGGGGCTTCTGACTGCTGGACTTCAACACTTTGATAGCTGGACTTGGGTAGTCGGCCTCAGGAGGAGGAAGTGGCCAAATAAGAGAACAGAACCAGGGTCCAGCTTTAGGAATGTAATCCACAGTCTAGCAAGGCCGAAGGAGTGGGGGGCAAGGCCTGCAGAGCCGTGTTCGCCATGCTCCGGCCTGCTGGAGCATTTCCAGGACTCTGCAAACTACGCCAGACCTCCAGCCCCTCCCGCTGTCCGTTTAAAATCTTAGAACCCTGACGGTAAGAATGGAGAGCCGGGTGTGAAGTGACTAGAAGCGTTCCACCACGGTTTCCTCTTCTGTGCGCCCCAAACGATGCCTTCTGTAGCCTGGAAATGGCCCAATGACCCAACCATCTCTGTTCAAAGGACGAGAATTGTTTACCCTTACAGGAAGGTGGAGAACTGACATTATGGGAACCCTTCATGGACATTCTGCTTTGTGCGGCAATTTCAGACAAAGGATGGGGCTGCTTGCAGAGGTGAGATTGCATAAACATCCAGAGTGTAGCCTAGTGGTTAGAGTGTCTGCCCGGCATGTACAAAGGCCTAGGTTCCAGCCCCTAATATATCAGAAGTACCCTTGGCAAGTAGATGGTCTCACAGATCGGGTCCTGGTCTGGTTCCTAGATGGGGCTTTCTCTCTGAGTGTTTGAGGGGAGAATGAAAAACCGTCTCCTGGCTGAGCCAGCCCACTCCTCTGGCCGGCCGTGGAGGCTGGAGCCAGAGCACGATTCCTTTGAGAAGCACTATTAGCTTCCGCTTGCTGCCAGCATGCGTGTTTGTGTTTTGGGTGTTTTCCCAGAGGTTTCAGTGAGAAATTGCCTGTCTCCGAGGTGGAAAAACAATACAAAACAAAAATGAATTCAGCAAAAGCATAGTGGAATCAAAGCTTGGTAGCGGACCCTTTGCTATAAACACATTTTTTTTTTTAAGTCAAGTGCTTTGTTGTTTTTTTTTTCTTTTCTGGAAAGAAAATGTGGTTTTACACACACACACACACACACACACACACACACACACACACACACACAGAGGATGGGGTGGGCTGTACAGAACAAGATGTTTCCTATTCCATTTGTTTCAAGCAAACATTCTGAGGCTCTGGAGAAAATAAACCATACATAAATAGTAGAAAACAGACTGCATCTTGTTGTCATGGCAACGCCCTACTTATATCACATTAAGCTGATTCATGTCTTTTCTCCCCTCGCTGTTAATAAATTATAGTGGCTGATGAGAATTA